TCTTTCCTGCTGGCGCTTCACCCTGTACTGTTTGAGCTGTTCTTCCAGCCGCTTCCGAGCCTGCAGTCGGACCTGCTCCTCCTTCTCCAGGGGCAGCGAAGCCTCTGTTGAGCCTGGGGGCGGAATGGCAATTTAGAAACTCAGAAGGCATCAGGGTACAAAGGACAAATCATAAGAGCAGTTTGGCAGTTTTGTGTTTAATTACCAATATGACTTAGCTTCTAAACAATGCACAGCCATCTACTTTGAAAGGACTACCTCCAGATGAAGAAAACACAGTGAGCCCTGGACAATGGCTGCAGACAGGACCCACCTAAGCTTTGCACTCAAGCCACAAAGACACTGCTCCCTACCACATCCTGTGGATACAGCAAGACACGGGCCACTGTGCCTGAGTAACAAGGAAATAAAATTCAGAGCTCGTGCCGTGGTGAGCGTTGAGACTCAGGGGTCCTCGGCCCTCGTCCAGCTCTAACACTAACCTCTGATGTCACAGAGGAACGTCGGGAGCAGTCTTCATGGAATCACACCCAGTCACACTGTCATTTCACACCAAACGTACTTTCTTTGTGCAGCTCCATTTGGAGGTAAATTTGATCCACAGCTTACATTTCTTCCATAACGAGTCACATTGTATTTTTGGCCAATAACAGAATCTAAAATATCAAAACCCAAACCTCCATTCTGGGTAATAAAGGGCTGAACAGTCAGTGCGAAGGTACACTGGTCACAGGTTTTTCACCAGACACGCACGTGGGATGTCGGGAGGACCCAGGGGATGGGCGGAGAGAGCAGACAGTGTCCTAGTTTAACCATTTCCAGATGGCGCCACCTTCAGATGTAGGTTTTAAGGATGTAAGCAGCTGTTGTTTTAAATAACCTGACACCTGAGCAGTCGCCAAGAATTTCACTAGGAATTCACCGATGCCATTACTACTTTGTGCGTTTATCACTGAAGAGACCTCCTGTACTTCTCGAAAAGCCAGGCGAAGTGCTCCAGATGCAGAAACCTATGGCTTCAGGAGGAAACCCAACACCACCGACGCTCACCAGGAAGAGCCACAGGCACCCAGGGCTTTTAGCTGATGTCTCTTGGCTTAAATGTTGACAACTGGTTTACAGAAAAATTTAAAACATACTACAACCCTAACAAAATAATACGTATGAGGAAAAAGGCAAACCACCCAAAAGAAAAATGGGCCAAACATATGAACAGACAATTCACAGAAAGGAATGGCCAAAGGAGTAACAGATAAAAACATGCTCAAACCTTCCAGGAATCAGATAAGTGCAAGCTGCTAATTAAGTAATAAGGAAGCATCAGAGCGCACCCCTCAGACTGGTGAAGACTGAAAAGCATCTGTGTGCAGGAGGGTGGGGGGCATCGTCCTCTCGTGGTTGCCAGTGGCATGGCAACTTGACCACGTGTGATGGAAACAAAAGCACCTGTTGCTTCTAACCAGAAGGTCTGCTACTGGGACGTAGCCCCTAGAAACGAAAGCAGTGACGCCGCAGACACGTGCACCGAAACGCCGCAGCATCAGGCACCGCGGCCGATGGAGGGCTGCAGAGGCCCCCGACCAGCCTTCTAAGAGTGAATCGAGCTGCAGCAGACAACGGGGGCAATCGCCACATGAAAATGCTGAGTGAGAAAAACGTGCAATAATGGGAACGTGTGATCCCATTTTAACAATGACCCCAAACCTATCTGTTTAGAGAGGCCGGGAAAGGGTCATATGAAAAGGCGCTGAATCACACAGGCACTGAAAGCGGGGTGCGGGGTAAAACAGCATGCGTGGCGTGGTCCCGTGAGATGAAATGACGAGAAAGCACGTGGTAGACAAAGGCCTGGAGCTTTCTTTGGCTCATCACAGGTGGTCAGTGTGTGACCTGTTCACCCCTCAATACGCAGGGATCAGCACGAAATAAACGCTAAATAAAACACGTCATAAAAGAGAGCTTTCCAAGTGTAACCTTCGAGATTAAGTTCCCACTGGCTGCCTGCTCGCCACCCAGGGTGACGACGACGCGCACACAGACCCCTCAGATCGGACTAGGACGGTGCATTCTCTAAAGTAGAGTTATCTGATTAACACACAATCCACCACAATAGCAAAACGGTGCATGGCAGAGGGACGAGCAGTGACCTGGGAGGGCGTGTGCCTCTGCAGATGGTGAGTGACAGGGGACACGGGAGGGGGCGGCGGGATCGGATGCTTACACAGCCGCGTTTCTTGCATAGGAAGGCTGAGCCTGAGAGACTGCAGAGCTTCTTTTCTACCACTGCCCTCAGCACTAGGCCCCTGAGACTTCTTTAGGTTGTCATGGAAACCAGCCACACCTGGAGGGGCATCAGGACCCATGGGGCTTGTGGGGGGACTGAGAGCCGACGGAGGGTCTGGGAGCTGTGGCGTCGGCCCATTCTGACAGGTGTCCCCCTTGTTGGGTACGTCCAGGCTTCGTCCTTCACTTGCAGCTCTGTTTGCCTCGACGCTGGCACCTGGAAGAGAGAACGGGGCTGGGCCATCACAGATGTAACGACGGGGCCAAGCTATTTTTCAGACATGCAGCCAAAACGGGAGAAGAGAGACGCTAGAGACGTGAGCAAGAGCAAGCGCCAGACTCCGAATCTGTCCAGTCCCGGCGGGCGGCAGGCCCTCGTTCTCCGGGGGGCGGGAGACGTGGGACCAGCCGCTCCGCCTCCCAGGGCCTGGCACCGTCACCCCTGGGTGCCCTCGCCCTCCGCACTCGGGCTGCAGAACTTCGGTAGTAACGGGTTCTTTTCATTTAAATAAGACCATGAGAAATCTTATGAAAGTTTGTTTTAAACCTATACCAAAAGAAAACAAATGTTTAAAACACAGCTGACAACATTTCCAACAGGTGTTGGTAACCACAGAGCTAATCAGAGCCATAGTCACAAAGGGCTGATTCCAGTCATTCCAAAGTATAAACATCCTCCAAAATGAGAAGTCTAAGGCAAAGAGGTGGATCCGCTGACCGGGACGGCCGCGGCAGATCTGAGCACAGAACCCAGAGTCCATGCTTCCGCGCGGCGACCTGCTGGGTAAAACCCAAGTCCAAACAGTGCCGACCACACACCACAGGAAGCTCAGCTTCACCCACGAACACGTGCGCACACACGTGTTTGTGCACGAACTAAAACTGATTTCCTTAACAGAAGGAAAAGAGAAGACAGACTCCTTACAGTTAAACGACGAGTCTTCTCCCTGCCCTGCAGCCTAGTGGGCCACTGGCCGGCCGTGGGAGAACCGAGATGGCGTGTGGGGGGAGGGGGCTTCCAGGCAGGGCAGCACGGCCCTAACGCCGCACCCCGTGGTTCCGTGAGGTCCCAGCATGCATCTGGGAAAATTCTCGTCACTTAAAATGTGAGTCCTCACTAACGGAGCTACTTAGCCACGCCTCCCCGAAAGGGAAAGCAGAGCACAAACAGGAGCCGTGGGCGCAGAGCATGGCAGGGGCCCGACTGCAGCCCTGACGCACAGTCTGCTGTGTGTGCGGCGCGGGGGGCGGAGTCTTGCATTTCAGATATGAGTTAGTCCGGTCCATACCACTTTCTGATGGCTTTATAGATCTGGGAGTCTCTAAAACCTTACTGTTTACATAACAAAGTGATTTTCAAGCATCACGTTGCACTTTAAAAATATCTAAAAGTAGGAAGGCCCAATAAACAGGACTACTGTTTGCAAACGGAAGCCTGATATGGACAGATGTCGATGATGACGGGCGCTCCCAAGTGCTGGTTTTCCATGTGTGTCTTCAGCCTCGTGGCCACCTGAGATGCAGGCGCCACGAATCTGCTGTTTATGCAGAAGAGAGTGAGGCCAGCATAAATCAAGGGTCCCTCCAGAGGGTTCATCACACTCTGTGGCGGATCTAAGAGCTGGGTCCCTGCCCGCCCCGCTGTGGAATCCTTGGTCCAGGGTCCACGCTGTTACTGGCCCCACCTGACATTTAAGAAGCACTAATCAGCAAAGCCATTTTAGGTACTAACACACCATTTTACAAGAATCAGAATGCAGCTGCTGCTAGTAAGTCGGTACATATATACTCGACAATTTCCAAGCACACACTGTGCTGAACTCCCTGAGCAGGAAAGGACACGAGACCTGACTGAATAATGTACCCTGCATCTGTGATGGACAGGTAACTCATCGGCTAACAGGCAAATGTGATTTGATAATCCTCAGATCACTACGGAAGCATTAATGGATTCCAGTTCGCAATATTTCAGCAGCCGGCCGGCCGGCCAGCCAGATGGACTGTTAGTGACCAACGCTGTGTCAGTGGCCACTCCCGCTCCGCCTTGCTGGGGCAGAAGTGGGACATTCCCTGCTCTGTTTAACACACATGGCACTCGATTTAAAGTTGGTGCCAACTAAGCAAAACACTCATCTGATTACCAAAAACACACTTTGAGTGAAAAGTTCATCGTGGTCTTAAACATCGGTCTCCCCCATCACATGGTCTCCCCGCCACGTCCTCCCGCTCAAGGGCAGAACATCTGCAGCACGCAGAGGAGCTGGTGACTGACACTGACCTTCGTCCCACTGGTCAGGCGGACCTGGCGAGCCCAGAGGTGTCGGGAGGGCGTCGGGGTGAGCCGTGGCACCACTGCTGGGTCCATCCTCCAAGAGGCCATCCTGCACAGCCAACGTGCCGTCCATGGTCAGGACGACACAGGTGGGGCTGACGCTCAGGGGCCGCAAGCGAGCTGTTGGCAGGTTTGGTTTCTGCCATCGCAACAGCCTTGAGCTCTTGGGAAGGATGGCATTCGGTTTTCCATTTTCAGAAAAAGACTTAAAGTCTCATGAATGGCTTGAAATCAAACCAAATAAGGTCATGACACCTGACAGGAGAGAAAATAGAAAATATTATGAAACTCCATTTGTCAGATTTAAAGAAACGATGCTTCTCAATTTGCATCTGTATAATAAACAAATACAGATTTATTCATTCGACAAACAAGCCTTGAGCACACACAACATCCTGGGCTTTGAGGTGAAAGGCGGAACCAGCCACGCCTGGGCCACCTCTAAGGCGCTTGCTGGCTACTGGTGCTGGCTAAAGATGGTTCTGACGAGACAGAGCAGCTCAGTAATTTGCACTGTAATTGTCACAGGTGCCATGAAGCTGGGGGGGTAGGGCTTGAGCGACTGAGGAATGAGTTTTTATTTGAGAGTAAAGAGCCACATGTGTGTGGCCAGTGGCGTTATCGAGGCTGGCCAAAACGTGACCCCGTGCACGACGCGATGGGTTCTCACTCCCGCCTCTGTCTTTACAATCACTGGTCACCCCTCTCATCCCAGACAGGTTCCCAGGTGGGGGGTAGGAGATGGACCCTTGGAGGCTCCACACCTATACCCGCACATCCCAGAGACCCCTCTGAATATCACTGCTTCGCAGGGTCCCAGCTCCATGGAAGACCACTGCAATGCCACCAAGCCTGCCTCCCAGCCACAACCCTAGGAACTCGCTGGGCAGCAGGTGTAGGAAGCTAGCCCGGCCGGGACGAGACGCTCTAGAGAGACTGCCCTTTAAAGAGCAAGGCGAGGCACATCAGCACAGGATAGCCAAGCTGTGCCCTGCATCTCAGGCTGGCCACTTCAAGGACAGATGATGTGTAACAACAAACATGGGGGAGCACGGAATTAACTGTCACTGTACACGGCACACTGCACGTAGTCACCCTGACAAGTTCCTCAACAAAAGAAAAATGTTTGTATTGTGATGACACATGGGTGAAGATGTCGAAATCACTGTAGTGTTCCCCATGATGCACGCAATGACACGAGTGCTTTTCAGGCGGGAGCTGGTCCCTCTGCTACAGATGCCTTTCTCGCCTGGACCACCAGGCAAATTCCCATAGATCACTCCACGTCTACCACTAGGTGCTGCTCTGAAGTCTCTCCTGGGCCTCACGTAAAGCACCTGGCGTGGCACACTCCCTTCTGCCGTCACGATGCCCCTGCGTGCACAGCACACTACGACCGTGTGTATGCCCAGCTCCTCCGTCGTGCTCCAAGATCCCTGGAAGCAGAAACCACCGCCAAGGCGGCCCCCCCGAACGCACCCTACTCACGGTGCTGCCCACCGCAGGCTGCTGATGTAAAAGCTTTGGCTCTGCCAATTTCCACCCTTTAGAGACCAAGCTAGTGGTTCCAAAACAAAATACAGTGTTTGCATCCATGAGCATTAGCACTGCCTTTTCAAATACAGGAAAACTCTATTCCAACTACAAATACTTGGGAGCTACAGTTCCAATGAGGGACAAAGAACGCCCCTGAGGGTACCAACTGGGAGGCCGCAGGCCAGATAAGCAATGCCACCTGGACGAGAAGGTAGAGAAGCACAGCCTGCAAGACTGGACTCATCTACTAAAGACAGAACCTGCCGAACAGACAAGGGAGAGCAGAGGGGCAGCCAGGGTGCTGCAGAGGCAAATGTGACACCGAGGCACGTGGTGACAACACCTGACCTTGACACTGCCTGGGAATGGGAGCACTAGCTGAGATCGAGGTCTGCTGATGAAGTCTCACCAAATATGGAGACGAACGTGTCAGCTGTCTGAGCCCAATACCATCACATACTCCACTCGTTTAGTTCTCTTTATTTGGATTTCTTACTAAACAAGAAACTTTTTGATTCCCAAGTAGTCCTACTCACTCCAGAGAGAGCTGGTGCAGCCGTCCAGGACACGAGACCCATGACTGTGGCTTGTTCTAGTAACTCATGAAGGTGGCTCCTATTCACACGCTTTTCCTGAAGCTAGACAAGAGACAGAACTCACTGACTGGCCAAAGCACCCTGGGGAGGTGACACTCCTCCCCGTGGATAACAAACCAGCAGTCTGTCCATCCTTGGTCTCCTGTGAATTTTACTTAGCATGACTCAGTCGTTCAGGGCCTCATGACCTCAGACTTTTGACAAAAACAGGATGAGGAGGAGAGGCAGACAAGGAAGCTGTTATTAGCAACGTGCACTGCACTGGTTTAAAAAAAAACATTAAAAAGTCGGTCTTATTATAGTACCATTTTTGGCTAGCCGCACTCTGCTGTTTCTTGGAGGGAAAAGACTGGGCAAAGCTACCACTTAGAAATTTGCAAAGTGTACTTAACTCTAGGTTCAACCCTGTCTGATAGCAAGGGACTTCATACGGAGAAAGCACTGTCTCAGGCACATATGTGACTTCTAGCTTCCCTCACACAGATTACACGAGTTCGATATGTGCACATTAACGGCTCCACCTTAAGTTGTTCCTGTTGACACTGTGAAACAACAGAGTATGGCAAAGCTAAAACAGAATTTCCTTAAGACAATAATGTCTAGTTGAGACCATACTAGTAACTAAAAGTAAACAGAGACCTACAAACAAAGTGAAAACCCTGGCAAGCTCGTGTCACTGCGCAGAGCACTACGTAAACAAATGACAGGCTCAGGCATCGGACATCTCAGCTTCAAGTCCTGACTCTCCCGCCCTAAGCTGTGAGATCGCAAACAGATTTCTTAACCACTCTTAGTCAGTAAGTAAGAGGATGAAAAAAAAGAATACAAAATTTCTGCCAGGATTAAATGCAACATGGCACAGGGTCTGTCCCATGCCCTCAATAAATGGTAGCTGTTATTAGCGTTTTCCTTTCAACTGGCACTTGTCAAAATTGGTACGTAAAAGCCAACTGAATACATTCTCACTTAAGGAGGTACGCTGCTGCTTAAAGCAACTAGCCAAAAACTAAAATTAAATTAAACAGGCTACTTTTGAATCTGAGTAATGTCAGATGAATTTTATTTTTTTTTTCTCACTATTCAAGGTAGACTGTAACTGAAAGCTACCACTCCAGTAAAGGGTTGCTTGTAATATTAAAGAGAAAATTCAAAGTTTAAAAAACCCGTGAGTCACCTGTATATGGCTTAGAACGTCCCAGTGGTTTCCAACACTGACAATAAAATCCAAGCCTGTACCATAAACTAGGAAGCTGCGCACCGCCCGGCTCCTCCCTCCGACCCCTCCTGGTCCCTCTCAGTTTCCTCCTTTCTCATTACACCTTTGTCACCCTTGTCCACCTGAGCGCACCAAATTTACTCCTCCCTTAGGGCCTTCGGACTTGGATTCATACTGCTGGAAAAGTCTTATTCCACAACTTTGCACAACTGGCTTCCTGTCTGTCACTAAGGTCTTGGCTCAAAAGTCACCGACAGACCCACCCAAGCACCACCCAATACTCTCAGCAATTACCTCCTTACTGTCTGAACCCGTCCCCTGGAGCGCGAGCTCAGCGAAGGCAGGGACCTCACCCCTGTATCTCAGGATCTAAGTGAACAGTGCCACACGACTGACAGGCAACAAGTATCTGTTGAAGTCTGAGCTGTTCACCTGCTTCCTACCAGTGGTAAGGCCGGGCCCACTCCCTCCGGAAAGTATCACTGCACCGACTGCACCGGAGAGACGCCTCTAACACCGGAACGAGACGGAATCCAGGTGGAGGGAGAGGCAAAGAGCCACACGGATTCTTTAAGCCCGGCTTCGCACAAACCACGCGGCACCATGTCACGCTTGTCAGCTCGACAGCACCTCTGCGAAAGGACCCGCGCTGCCTGAAGGTTTCTAAGCAGCTCCAACAGCAGCTGCGGGCATCTCTGGGACAAACCACGTCCCATCGCACGCAGACAGCGTTCCGGAGGGCTCGGATGTAAGGACATTTACGAGGCCAGTTCCGCTAACAGCTGCACCGGCCGGCTTCCAGGCCCCGAGGCTACCAACCGTGAGGGGCCAGACGAGCGCTGGGCGTCGCCGCTCCAGGAGGAGACGCGGTCGGCCCTCCGGGTGCGCCCGACCCCGCCTTGGCCCCCGGGCGCCGTCTCGCCCTCCCCGGCGGAACCCGGCCTGGGAGCTTCCCGTGACCCTCACCCGGGT